CGTCTTTTTGCAAAGGCGTACTATGTGTGAACGTTTGCTGGAGGCTCAGCTGAGTGGTAGAAGAAGATGATGGCCTACACTGTTTCAAATGAGTCCATAATGGCCCATTTCCCCATGACTTTGCTTTTGAGGTGGAGCGTCCACGACTGACAACTTGCCGACATTTTCTGCAAGTGGGTTTTGAACCATCAAGTGGGTTTTTAATAAAATGATCCCAGACGCTAGGCTCTTCAGAGCGTTTTCGTTTCTCAGCAGTTGCCATATTAAATATATCTTGTCGTCACAGCAAACAATTTGAACTGACAACTAATGAGACTGTTTCAATGTTTGACCACTCTATGTATAATCATTCGTATTATCTTAGACTTTTATAGCATAGACAGTAGGCATGGCATTTCCGTGCGTGAGTTTAAATGGCAGCAAAACAAGATAAATGGCACATTGCCACGTTGCATGCAAATACCAAATCAGTGTCTGTCAAATTCAAGGGTTACAACAAAAGTAATATTAAATAGCGAACGTTGTTTATCGAGCAAACGTTTTTAATATTCGGAAAATTAAGGCTTTATTCTATCTTAAATTTGGAAATACAGTTTGTTTGCGTGCTAAAATATTGAGTCGATATAGTACCGCCCACGTGAAAAATATTAGGCGCGAAATATGTTGATTTCACGCAAGGACTTCATACGTCTTATATTTTTAATCTTGTCACTAATCTTAATTGCTTTTCCGCCACGCCTTTAATTTAATAACTCGTTGCACGAACGAAAGAAATATCCAGTGAACTAAAAAGTGTTAAATCAGCCTTGCGCAATTCAATAAGGTATGCTAGGTTATGCATATTGAATTGCAAAAAAGATCTGGATAATGCAGACGAAATCAGTTGGATAATGTAGTATAGAAGTGGGCTAAACAAGTAAACAACATGCCCGACGTATAGCTTCATGACATTTTATTAAGCTATAGGTTAGGTGCGACTACGGCCTGAGTCTGACTATTGTCGTCTTGCGGGATATTATTGTGCGTTTAAAATAAAGTAATTTATTTCTATTGGATTTTAAAGTAACTTTTCAACAAGAGCCTCGGCTGTCTCGCATTTTTATCACAACCCGCCTATAAATGCCCGATGCGCGATGGTTCATCTGAAAATTCACTGTTGTGTTTGCTAAATGGGGACTTACAACATGGTTTCAGATCACGGCCCGAAGTTTGACCTGGTAGATATTGCGTTATCAAGCATGAATATTTTAACAATTTAGCTATTTCGAAGGCTTCAAGAGTTATGCGTGACAAGAGCGAAAATATTTATAATTGTCACAGCAGGAATAGCTTAATTATCTATTGTAGTAATTTACAACATGCTATTGTAAAGTGTTAAAGTTATTGAATCCTTCATTATCCAAGAACTAGAGGAAAAAGCTAATAAAAATAGATATTTCGGCACTATTTTACAAGACATACACCGTAATCATATTACAACAGACTATGTCTAGAATATGTCCTATTGTATTACATATTTTCCTGCAATAAGATCACAGACGTACAAATATAAGTAATTCTGATTTTCCAGCCGGAGCTGGGAAGAAAGCACAGCAGCTCCGGCTCCGGCAGGTAAAAAACCGCCGGAGCTCGACCTCCGGCACACAGCACTAACACCATGACACACCAAATCTGAACAATTTGATGAACTGTTGCTTACTTACCTCTGCACTGGTATTCTGTGGTACATTGGAATTTTCCACAGAATATTCATTTAAAAAATAATTATTTATTCTATGAAATCTTGCCCCAAAACCCCCAGGAAGAAAAAATATATCGATAGACTATACTAAAAAATATTAAGGAACCATATTATATACATTAAACAAAAGATATGGAACATGTAAATTTTTGCAGTATTCTGTGGTACATACACCTGTAATTTAGGCCAGTTATGACATATCCTATGAATACTGCTGCTACTTATTACACATATGTATATAAATTGACAGATTGATAAATAGCAGCAGTTTTCTTAGGCTATAATTAAAACCTTAGGTGAAGTAACTGCTCCATTTAATATCTAAAACGACTAATTGCTATTTTTTAATCTTTTTAGTTTCTCAAGTCCATAACCAATGACACCTGTGATCCAGAAAGGCCGCAGCCGAGCATGGCAAACGTGAAGTCTGGAATTCTGGTATTTCCTGGTCCTGTTGTAACACACAGGGCATTTGTTCAAAGCGGCCCCCGTTTGAATAGGGGAATATCAAATCAAGAGTTTGTCAATGCAAAGGAACAACTGAAGATCGACTATGGCCACACAATGAATGTCAGAGTTGCTAGATCCTCGAAACAAACGCATATTTTTGTAAAGAAAAGACCCAATCAATTTGCAAAATGGCCTAGCGATGTTTTATGCACAAGATCGGATTTCGAGAATAACTACCATCGACCATGTCACAAGGCTATATCGGCAAGCATTCGAAGGTTGCTTTGCAATCAGAATCTATTAACCAAGGAACAATTGAACATGTAAGGTGTAAAACTATAAATTTGTGAAAAATAACACATGAACATTGCTCATTAGCAAATATATCTTCTATATTCTATATGTTATTAATAGTATAATTATTCATTGTCACAGTAATTAGTCTCAAATTTTCAATATATTAGTGTGCTCATATTAGTATAATTTATAGTTCAATGTTGTTAACAATTTTTCAATATACTAAACAGTAACAACTGAAAGGCAATTACTGTCTTTTAAATTTATTATATATTGGTTTCTGTAAAAGCAATGACAATGTTAACAAACAATTCTTAGCCAAGGCCATGCAGTGCAAATTGTTGCCCAAGGCCAAGCATTAAAATTTGAAATGCTGTTTCTCTGTTTGATCTATGAGAATTTGATCTATTAATGCCAAACTAACTGTATATCTTGTTCTCAAAATAACTAACTCACTATGTATCCACTAAAATATACAGCTACCTTAAAAACATGAGAATTTGATCTATTAATGCTAAACTAACTGTATGTCTTGTTCTCAAAATAATTAACTCACTGCATATCTGCATATCCACTAAAATATACAGCTACCTATACAGCATGAGAATTTGATCTATTAATGTTAAACTAACTTGTTCTCGAAATAACTAACTCGCTGCGTATCCACATATCCGCGTATCCACTAAAATATATAGCTACCTGTACAGCATGAGAATTTGAACTATGAGAATATTAATGCCAAACTAATTGTATGCCTCATTCTCAAATCAGAATTTGATCAAATATACAGCTACCTCTATATACACTGTAGCATGAGAAATATTAATACATCGTATCCATGATGTTTGAAAGGCATAGCGTAAAAGGTTGTGGGGTATTCTGAAATCGCACTGATAGAGAATGCCATTACTACATGTAGCAATTAAGACAAATTATTTTGACACTAGCTATACAGTATGCAATCAAGTCTAGCTATACAGTATGCAATCAAACTGTGTATGTCAGTGTAGGTAAGAGCAATTCAAACTGAGAGCGCTGTAGCTTTTGATTCAGCTTCCTGAAAATACAGGCCTTCACTCAAAAAATTAAAGTTTTGTATTCTTCATGCTTTTCCAGGTAGGTTCAGTGCTCATAATGTCAACTGTAATGGTAAAATGTGTCCGAAATTGTTTGCATGTGCCAATAAGTACATATGCAGATATTTTGCTGGCTCCAATTCCTTGCAATTTTAATTGTACAAAATTTTAATATTCTCTTTATTTTGTCCATTCAGACAACAACCAGAAGCATGTAGGACCATTAGATGAACAACTGTCAAGGGAAAATTTAGACAAAATGATACAAGTCAGTCAGATGATAGCGATGATGATAATGGTGAAGATGGAGGCGATGAAGAGCATGTGCTGTGCCAAGGTATTGTGTAATATGGTATTGTGTAATAAATTAGTTTTATCAGTATGAAAACATGCAAAGAACTATATCAGATCTAAATCAAACAATGCTATTATTGTCTTAATTGTGGCCATTTTAAGTATTCTAATTTCTATTATTTTTTCATATCAGTCATATTACAGATGATAGCTGCAAGTTCCCAAGCTTTGTTGAATTCCTTTCACAGTTGTTGTTGCTATTTAAGATCTGCATGATTTGTCATGAAAGTCAGCCTCTTTTGGAAGTGGTGTAAGTTGGGACAGTGTTGACCATAAAAGGCAAACATCAACATCCATCTGTCTGGGACAAAAATCGCTGCAGGAAAACGTTTTGTTATCATTTGGTATCTCGATGGCAGGATCATCAGCAAGCAAAGTATTACACATAATTGCTATTCTTATTATGTTTGTTAATAAGAATAGTAATTAATATACAATAAATTGTGATGTGGAATTAATCAAAACTATCAAGACAAACATAGATGCTCAATCTCAGATGCAACTACGATCAGTCTCGGAACACAACATAGAGCTTCAACTACAATCAAGCCATAGAAGATCGGCATCATTTGAAAAATTGGGTGAAGTGGTCCACTGGTCATTGTGGACTTCATTCCATTTGGCGATTTACTAACATATCGACAAAAAATGAAAGTCACATTACAAGAGTTGATGGGCTTCGCAATTACCTCTGCACAAGGCATGAAGTATTTATCAATGAATGGGCGGGTGTAATTTGCAGAATGCGACATCTGTACTTTCGCTCAGCTGTGATACGTGAAAGCTATTCGAAAGTGTTTGGGTTAGAGTCACACAACAGTGCTGATGACTTGGTGAAGCTGGCAAGGAAGGTAATCAATGAGTTGGACGATTGTTACACCAATAGCTTCTCTGATCTGAACCAAATGCTATCCAAATGCTTCGACTTCGCGAGACTATTTGTTGGATTATGTGGAAAAAGGACTGAACACAGAATCACAGTGGACAACAATACCAAAGCATTCTCCGAGCTTGGGGCAAATGAGTTTTGTGATGGTGTGTCACCTACGTCTCACAGATGACACACATATGCAACAAGAATTTGGAGATAGGCGTTCCAATAAAGCGCTCATGTCCATCGTCTGGGGTTGTATGTTTCCCACATACTTCTGCCAATTCTTCAAAAAGATCATCATCAAAAGATAAAAGAGATTTCTCTTTGAAAGACCTGGTTGTCTCAGGTGTGACCATGAAAAAGGTCCTGGAGGGCACCAGACAACACTTTACGCTTTCAGAGGTCTTCGAAGTAGAGTTGAGCAATGGCGAGAAGATGGAAGTCCTTTTTGATGAAGAAATT